ATAATACAATAAAACTAACAATCAGAAAACTGTTACTGTCTCAGTCAGGCAACCAGCTCCTCAAGACAGAATGACAGGCCCAGGCTGAGGTTCGACCCCATGGCTTTGCCATTGGAGTCCAGCCAGTAGCATGACCATTCAGCCACAGAAAAATGGCCTATACCATGCACAATGGGTGCGAAATGGCTTACCCGCAAACTTGACGTGTATTTTGTTGGCAACACTGAAGAGCTGGATGTACTGCTTGCAGTTGGGAGCGAAGTCCTTGACAGCCCATGACCTCAAAATGGTATGTCGATCCTGACACGACGGACAAAAAAACCCACATCTCAGACTGCAATGTGTAAGATTTACTTTAATGCTGCAACTAACACATTTATGTGTGTGGCTTCATAGTGAAATAAGGTGCACAACAAAATAATAAAATCAAATAAATCAACATTTTTCAGCCTGTAGGCAATTTTTATCTTTTTATATTTTTCTTTTTTTTCTGGGGAAGGGGGGGGGGGGGGTTCTAAACACTTTTAATGTATATTTCTGAGTGAATTTTCCTGATAAAACGTTGATCAAAGCCACAAAAAATATAAGTTTGCAGATTCAAAGGATACTCAAGCTCTGGAAGTCACCAAACTTTGGCAGCCAATTCTTCACTAATTTTATCATTAAACCAGACAACCCTCACCTCCTTCAATCACAAAAATCCCAACTTCTATTTTAGATGGATTTTTTTTAAAATATACAGAAAGTTAATACAATATCTAAAAATAAAAAACCCAGTGTATTCATGTCATCGAAAGCAAGGGCAAATTAACAGACTCATAACTCCATATTATCATATGCTCAAAAACTGCCGAGCAACTGATTCCGCTGTGTCATGACACATATCACTTCTAAGGCCTTCTGCTTTGACCCTGACTACCAGAGCCAACTCGGGCAGTGTAAAATGCTTCTCAGCAGAAAGAAAGAGATCCTAAATAATTTCCTCAAATGAAAAATTTAACAAATTTGTCAGTTGTCCACATCTCAGAGTCCACATTACAAAGATTATTTTATCAAGTGTCACCATCTGCGCAAGTTGTGTCACTAAGTTGTTTTAAGTCTACCTCTATTGCGTTCTTTTTTCTATTCTCAGTGAGAACCATATTGTCAGCCAGCTGTCCAGTTGTGCTAAGCCCAATTTTTTATTCAAATCGCAGTCTCATAATCTGTGGTATCGGCTACATGTGTTTGAGAAACGTTTTGCCAAAACTCAAATTCTAAATGATAAAAGCCCCCAGAAAATATACAGAATGCTAACAATATCTGAAAAAATAACCCAGGTCTATACTCCCTCCTGAAAAATTTTGCTTTCTAAGCTTAAAACTTCAGAATAGCTTGCCTATGATACATTCCTTTGTCGCTTCTTCCTTATGTTTATTAGTGACCGTCCCACATGTGCGTCTTTCAGCACAAATTCATTTGATTTCTCCTCCTGGACATCCCGTCAGCAACATGCACAAAAAATCATCCCACCAGCCAACTAAATTGTATCAGCCCACCAACCAACCAATAACAGCACATCAGTCAATCATAATAGGTTACCAACCAACCCACAACACCCCATCAATCAACTAAAACCTCCAACCAACCAACCCAAAAAAGACAATAAAGGCCAACCCTTAAAAACTCACCAATCAAATCCCACTGGCCCACCAACCAGCCCGCAACATTCCCCCAACCAATCCACAAAAACCCACAAATCAAACCCAAATAGTCCACCAACCAACCACAACAACCCACCAACCAACCACAACAGCAAACCAACTAATCCACAACAGTCTATAAACCACTCCACACCAGTCCATAAACTACTCCACAACAGTCCATAAACCACTCCACAACAGTCCATAAACCACTCCACAACAGCCCACCAACCAACCACAACAGCAAACCAACTAATCCACAACAGTCTATTAACCACTCCACAACAGTCCATAAACCACTCCACAACAGTCCATAAACCACTCCACAACAGTCCATAAACCACT